AGTAGTAGTAGTAGTAGTAGTAGTAGTAGTGCAAGTAGTAGTATTGATGGTAGTAGGAGTAGTCGTAATGCTATAGTAGTTAGTTAGTTCGTCGTAGTGATATTAGGTTAGTGGTTTAGTGGTAGTAGTAGTGGTAGTAGTAGTAGTAGTATGGAGTAGTAGTTAGTAGTAGTAGTAGTAGCATAGTAGGTAGTAGTCGTAGTAGTAGTGTAGTAGTATTTAGTAGTAGTAGTAGTAGTAGTAGTAGTAGTAGTAGAGTAGTAGTAGTAGTAGTAGTAGTAGTAGTAGTAGTAGTAGTAGTAGTAGTACTGGTAGCAGAAGCAGTAGTAGAAGTAACAGAAGTAGTCGTAGTGGTAGTAGTAGTAGCAGTAGTAGGCGCAGTCGTTGTAGTAGCAATCGTAGTAGCAGTCGTAACAGTAGTTGTAGCAGTAGTAGTAGTAGTAGTAGTAGTAGTAGTAGTAGGTGTACTCCCCGGAGTAGTAGTAGTAGTAGTAGTAGTAGTAGTAGTAGTAGTAGTAGTAGCAATACTAAAAGTAGTAGTACTAGTAATAGTAATAGTAGTCGTAGTAGTAGTAGTAGTAGTAGTAGTAGTAGTATAGTAGTAGTCGTAGTAGTAGTCGTAGTAGTCGTAGTAGTAGTAGTGGTCGTTGTAGCAGTAGTGGTAGTGGTGGTAGTAGTAGTAGTAGTAGTAGTAGTCGTAGTCGTAGTGGGAGTAGTAGTAGTAGTCGTAGTAGTAGTAGTAGTAGTAGTAGTAGTAGTAGTAGTAGTAGTAGTCGTAGCCGTGGCAGTCGTAATCGTCGAAGTAGTAGTAGTGGTAGTGGTAGTGGTAGTGTAGTGGTAGTGGTAGTGGTAGTGGTAGTGGTAGTGGTAGTGGTAGTGGTAGTGGTAGTGGTAGTGGTAGTAGTAGTAGTGGTAGTAGTAGTAGTAGTAGTAGTAGTAGTAGTAGTAGTAATAGTAGTAGTAGTAGTCGTAGTAGCAGTACTCGTCGTAGTCGTAGTAGTAGTAGAAGCAGTAGTAGTAGTAGCTGTGGTGGTGGTGGTAGAAGGATAATAGTGGTAGTAGTAGTAGCAGTAGTAGTAGTAGTAGTAGTAGTAGTAGTAGTAGTAGTAGTAGTAGTAGTCGCAGTAGTAGTAGTAGTGGTAGTAGTAGTAGTAGTAGTAGTAGGAGGAGGAGTAGTAGTAGTAGTAGTGGTAGTAGTAGTAGTAGTAGTAGTGGTCGTAATCGTAGTAGTAGTGGTGGTGGTAGTAGTAGTAGTAGTAGTAGTAGTAGTGGTAGTAGTAGTAGTAGTAGTAGTAGTAGTAGATGTAATAATAATAGTAGTAGTAGTAGTAGTAGTAGTAGTAGCAGTAGCGGCAGGGCAGGGAAGAGGATGGAGAGAAGGAGAAGCAGGAACAGGAGCAGTGGAAGAGCAGGGACAGGAGCAGTAGCACGGGGGACGAGTGGGAGGAATGTGACGAACATGATGACGGTTTGGTCATACTGATTTTGCTGGTGCTGATGCTGATGCTGCTGTCGCTGATGTTGATGATTCTGCTGCTACTTGCGATGATGGTGATGATGATGATGATGATGATGATGATGATGACGGTAATGATGATGATGAGATGATGATGGCGACCCTGACGATGGCACTGCTGATAAGGATGATCATGATTTTGATGATTGTGAGGATGATGATGATGGTGATGCTGACGATGGTGATGATGCTGATGATGATGCTGGTGATGATGATGAGTAGGGTGATGATTCTGGTGATGATGACGGTGCTGGTGGGTGTGATGATGATGGTGATGGTGATGTTGATGATGCTGATGCTGATGCTGGTGCTGATGACGATGGTGAGGATCAGGATGCTGATTCTGATGATCTAATGCTGGGGTGATGCTGGTGGTAGTGATGATGATGCTGATGTTGAGGCTGATGATGCTGATGATGCTGATGCTGATGCTGATAACGAGGTTGAGGATGAGGATGATGCTGATGTTGTTGATGATGATGGTGGTGATACTTATGGTGATGATGATGATGATGATGACGGTGATGACGATGATGATGCTGATGCTGATGATGCTGATGCTCATGATGGCTGCGGTGATGATGCTGATGCTGATGATGTTGACGCTGCTGATCATGATGACGATGGCGATTCTGATGATGATGCTGGTGATGATGATGGCGAGGCTGCTGCTGATGGTGATGATAGCGACGATGATGATTCTGATGATGATGATGATGACGATAGCGACGATGACGATGCTGACGCTGATGATGATGATGCTGATGATGCTGCTGCTGATGATGATGCTGATGATGATACGGTTGCTGATGCGGATGCGGATTTTTCTTATCATTCGCCATCTCATTGTATTTATGGTGATGCTGATGATGATGGTGATGATGATGAACGTGTTGTGGATGCTGCTGCTGATGATGATGCTGGCGATGTTGTTGATGATGAGGATGACCATGTGCGATGATGATGGCGCTCGTGGTGATGACGATGATGACGATGATGATGAGGATGATTTCGATGATGATGTTTCCGATGAGGATGGCGAATCTGATGATGATGATGCTGATGATGATGTTGTTTTGTGATGATGATGATTATGATGATGCTGATTTTGTTGATGATCTGTTGGTGGTGATGATGATACTACGGATGAGGATGAGGATGAGGATGAGGATGCGGAGGGGTAGGAAAGATTGGGGGAATGAGGAGGAGAGGAGGAGAAGGGGAAGAGAGGATTGAGGTTGGATGGGGAAGGAGGAGGAGCAGGAGGACGAGGATGCGGATGATGATGATGCTGATGTTGATGCTGCTGCTGATGATGATGATGATGATGATGATGGTGGTGATGATGATGACGACGACGACGCGGAGGTGGGATAAGAAGGAGATGAGGAGGAGGAGGGGGCGGAGGAGGAGGAAGAGGAGAAGGCGGTGAAGGAGGCCGATGATGATGATGGTGATGATGATGATGATGATGATGATGGTGATGGTGCTGCTGATGATGGTGGTGATGAAGATGATGATGATGATGCTGATGATGATGATGATGATGATGATGATGAGGATGATGGTGATCGTGATGTGGATTCTGATGATGATGATGCTGATGGTGATGGCGATTCTCCAAATAGGCTTGTCCGATAGGAGTCCTAGCTCATCATAAGTAAATGGTCTTTAGCACCCCCCCTTTTCCAATGCCCCCCCCCCTTTCTCCAATGCCTCCCCTTTTTTCCAATGGCACTTGCTTGCTTGCTCTTGCGTGCTTGCTTTCGCTTGCTTGCTCTTGCTTGCCCTTGTTTGCTTGCACTTGATCGCTGGCTCTTGCTTGCTTGTCATTGCTCGCTTGCGCTTGCTTGCTTCCGCTTGCTTGCTTGCGCTTGCTTGATTTTGCTCCTCCCGTCCTCCTCCCGTCCTGCTCCCGTCCTCCTTTCGTCCTCCTCCCATCCTCCTCCTGTCCTCCTGTCAATATGGAGTCAACGCTGTCTAATATGATGATGATGATGATGATGATGCTGATGCTGATGCTGATGATGATGATGATGATGATGATGATGATGATGATGATGATGATGCTGATGAGGCTGATGATGCTGAAGATGACGAGGTTGCTGCTGGTGATGATGCTGCTGCTGATGATGATGATGATGATGATGATGATGATGATGGTGGTGGTGGTGGTGATGATGATGATGATGATGCTGATGATGCTGATGATGATCATGATACTGCTTTTGTTGATGATCTGTTGATGGTGATGATGATGATGCTGCGGATGAGGATGAGGATGAGGATAAGGATAAGGATGAGGAGGATGAAAATGAGAGGAGGAGGAGGAGGAGGAGGAGGAGGGGAAGAGAGGATGGAGGGTGGATGGGGAAGGAGGAGGAGCAGGAGGACAGGGATGAGGATGAGGATGATGATGATGATAATGATGATGATGATGCTGATGTTGATGCTGATGATGATGATGATGATGATGATGATGATGGTGGTGATGATGATGACGACGACGCGGAGGTGGGATAAGAAGGAGATGAGGAGGAGGAGAAAGACGAGGAGGAGGAGGAAGAGGAGAAGGCGGTGAAGTAGGCCGATGATGATGATGATGATGATGATGATGATGATGATGATGATGATGATGATGATGCTGATGATGATGGAGATGATGATGATGCTGCTGATGATGATGCTGATGATGCTGATGATGATGAGGTTGCTGCTGGTGATGATGCTGATACTGATGATGATGGCGATGATGCTGATGCTCATGATGAGAATGAGGATGATGACGATGATGATGATGATGATGATGATGATGATGATGATGATGATGATGATGAGGATGAGGATCAGGATCAGGATGAGGATGAGGATGAGGATGAGGATGGATGGATTGATGGATGGGTGGATGGAAATATGGTTGGATGGATGGATGGATAGATGAAGGGATGGATGAATGGATGAATTGATGGTGATGATGGTGATGATGGTGATGACGACGAGGATGAGGATGAGGATGCGGATGCGGATGCGGATGAGGATGAGGATGAGGATGATGATGATGAGGATGATGATGAGGATGATGATGATGATGATGATGATGATGATGATGATGATGATGATGATGATGATGATGACGATGATGCTGATAACGAGGAGGATGAGGAGGAGGATGAGGAGGAGGATGAGGAGGAGGAGGAGGATTCGATGATGAGGAGATGGAGGTGGAGGAGGAGGATGAGGGGGAGGATAATGAACAGCAAGAGGGCGACGGCGAGAATAAGGGGAGGCGGAGGAGCGCAGAGGCGAAGAGGAGCAGGAGGAGGGCAGGGAGGGCGCTTGCCTCTGATCGCCGCGATGGCCGCTCGTACCGCCGCCCTGCGCCCCATCGCGCGGGTGCCCAGCTCGATCGCTCGGCCGCCACGGCGACCCCTTCGGCGGCCGCCCCCCTGGCGACCTGGCCCCGCCGCGCCTGCAGACCGCCGAGGTCACCAGCAGCGGCATCTCCAGCGGCCGGGGCACGCCGGCCATGCCGCCGCCTGGCTTCCGCACCGGGTGCCCTGGGCGGGCCGTCGTCGTCGTCGTCGTCGTCGTCGTCGTCGTCGTCGTCGTCGTCGTCGTCGTCGTCGTCGTCGTCGTCGTCGTCGTCGTGGTCTTGGTCGTGGTCGTCGTCGTCGTCTCGTTTCTGTCCTCTTCTGCCTCCTCGTTTCGTTGCCTGCTGTCGAATGCTGCGCATGTGCTCGCGGGCTCTGCTGCTCGGCGGCCTGCATTCTCTACTCGGTGATGAACGCAGGTATGCTGTGGTGATATGCAGCGGTGGAGAATGCGGTTACCATTGTTGTCGATGTTCCTGTTCTATGTATCCTGCATGGGGAAAGCTCCCTTGAATAGGCGTCCCCCTCGATAATTTCTGGACCCCCTCGGATGGCCTTGTCGAGCGTCCCCTCTGCCTTCCGACCCACCAGGATGCTTCTGCCTGGTTGTCCTCTTCCCTCATCCCTCCATCTTCCTGCCGCCACTTTCCTCCCTCTTCCCCCTCCCCCCTCTGCCTCCTTCTGCTCCGCGCGCAGGGGGGCTCCACGCGCAGGGGGGTAAGACGGGGTACGAGGTGGAGGACGAGGATGAGGATGTGGAGGAGGAGGAGGATAAGGATAAGGATGAGGATGATGAGGAGGAGTAGGAGGAGGAGCAGGAGGAGGAGGAGGAGGAGGAGGAGAAGGAGAGGAGGAGGAGGAGGAGGAGGAGGCGGAGGAGGAGGAGGAGCAGCCAGCATTCGAGGACGAGACCAGCGCCAACGCTGGCGCCGACGGTGACAGCAACGATGACCTCGCCCCCACTCTTCCTCCCCTCCCTTCCCTTTCGCTTCCCATCCTCTCCTCCCTCATCACTTTCGTCCTCCTCCTCTCCCTCCATCTATCCCTCCTTCACCCCTCTCCTCCATACACGCGAGCGGGGACGATGATGTTGATGGCGATGACGACGGTGGTGTTGGTGGTGTTGATGAAGGCGTTTATGGTGGTGGTCGGGATGAGGATGAGGACGTTGATAACAATATTGATGTTACTGAGAATGCAAAGGATGACGAGGATGCTGAGGATGACGATGCTGAACATGACGATGGCGATGGCGATGACCTTGTCGATTGCGATGACGACGACAACCCCGACGACGCCGACGAGGTATGGATGATGATGGTTATGCTGCTGCTGATGATGATGCTGATAATGCTGATGATGATGCTGCTGCTGATGATGATGGTGGTGGTGATGGTAATGATGATGATGATGATGATGATGATGATGATGATGATGATGATGATGATGATGATGATGATGATGATGATGATTATGGTGGCGATGATGATGATGATGATGCTGATGATGATGATGATGCTGATGATGATGATGATGCTGATGATGATGATGATGATGATGATGATGATGATGATGATGGTGGTGGTGGTGGTGGTGGTGGTGGTGGTGATGAGGATGCTGATCATGATGTTGGATCTGATGTTGATGTGAGCACAGTGGTTATTGTAGTAAACGGAAGTGATCTGCGGCTCGAGCCCGCCCCGCGCTGCGTGCCAGGCGCGCCCGCGGTTGATGCGTTGGGGGCCCGCGGCCCGAGCACGGGCGGTCCACGAGCTTGCCCCTGGATTCGAGGCCAACCCAAAGGCCACTCCCAGCGGCGAGGAGGCCGCGCCAGAGGCGGCGGAGGACCCAGAAGGGGTCGCCTGGCTCGTCATCCCAGACAGCACCCATGCCGGGCCGCCCAGAGGGGCGGCAGGCGCCGAGCCTGTGGTTCGGGCCGCCCCTGCCGCTGGCAGCCACTGCTACGCAATCTGGGCCGCCCCGGGTTCAAGCGAGGACTTCGTCGGGGTGCGCAGAGGAGGTGCGGTCGCGTGGCCGGCGATCGTCGCCAGACTCGGCGGCGGCAAGTACACCAGCGGGCGGTGCCGCCTGCGTCGGCTCCCGTCGCTGGGCGAGGCAATCCACAAGTTCTACTTCGATGGGCAGCAGGACTACTCATATACTGGACAGTGACGACGCTGCGACCTGGTGCGCTGCAGCGGACCGGGGACGTCCTGCTTCGCGCGTGGCTGCTCGAGCTGCCTATAGCCGGGGCGCGAGCCGCTGGTGCAGCAGCGAGGTGCGAGGCCCGGGTCGGCGGCGCCAAGATTGTGAGGCTCGTTGGCCCCATCGCCGTCGACGCCCTGATGCAATGCGACCTCACCGACCTCGAGCTGGGGAAGCTCCTCGTCGTGGTGCCCGCCGTCTGCCTCCATCGCGACACCGGCTCGCTCGCCTCCGTAGAGCGGCCTTGGAGCGCCGCGGCTTGATCGCCATCGGCCGCGACGCGCTGCGCGGGCCTCTCGAGGACCTCGCCGACCCCGACGCACTGGCTTAGGATATCGAGCTCAACGCGCGGATCAGGCCGATGGCGGCCGCCCTGGGGCCCCCTGGCGGAACATTCTCGCGATTAATGAACTCGTGCCCGTGGTCGTCTCGGACTCTTCAACGGCCGTGGGGGCCGCGGCGATGCCCCGAGGAGATCCTGGGCAACGGGTGCATGGGGGCCCGGCTAGTAGATCTTGCGGGGGCTCTCGACCGCGCGGGCGCCCTGTGGGGTGGGGGCTGCCTCGGCAATTTCTTCGGTGGGCGCTTCCAGGAGACTCGGCGCGGGGAAGCTCTGCGAGCGCGTCATGGGCTGGCGCGTTTTGGACAGGCGTTGGCGCGAAACCACGTTCTGGAAGGGGCGGTGGGCGTTCCTGTCCCTGCTGGCATGGCGATGTGACCGCAGCCGCCAGCAACTCGTCATGGAGGGCGGCATCAACTGCAAGGGCGGCGTCTGGCGGCGTCTGGCGGCGTCTGGCGGAGGTGGCGGCAGAGTGTTCCAGCGAGTGGTGCGGTGCGGTGTCCGAGCAGCTCGACATGCGCTGCCGTTCGCCCCGCTGCTGATGGCCCTGGGGATCTTCTGCAGCTGGCTCGGATGGCGGGGCCTCCGAGTGACAGTCGAGCCTGCCGCTGCCCGTCTGTATATCATCATGCTCGACGAGTGGAGCCTGTGGCTCCAGAGTCGAGGGCTGCCCCGCCCCGGCGTCGTCGCGCGTGACATCGCGCTGCTCAACGTCGCCCTCGTCGCCTAGGCGCAGTACTTCTGCGACGAGAAGGCGCCGTGTTCATGGGGATCCGAGAACCTTGTAGGCGCCCGGCTTCGCTGGCCCCAGACCGCGGACAATTGCGCCCGGCCTGGGCCGCGGTGGCTCGCTGGTGCCAATTCGAGCCAGTCGAGATGCGCGCGCCCATGCCTGTCGAGGGGCTCCTGGCCCTGGCCGTCGCTGCCCAGGCGTAGGGGTGGGGCCGGGCGTCAGCATGCTTGCTCCTTGCCGTCCACTCGCTGCTGCGGCCCAGCGAGGTCGCGAATGCACTCGGGCCGCGCCTCGTCTTGCCTGGGGGCCGGAGAGGCGACGTCGGCGCGAGCGTGCCTGTGCTTTTCGCTGCTGAGACATCGGGCCGAGGGCCAAGTTTCCAGAGCGTCCTCGTCGACGATCCTGCGGTGTTGAACTTCATGGGGTGCGTCTTTGGCCCCCTCTCGCCGACGGCGGCGTTGCGCCCGGGACAGCTGCGCGGGCTGACCCACAGGTTCAGCTGACTCAAGGGCTTCGCTGGTATCGGCGACTCGCCCTGCGCCCCTTGGGCGCTGCGAGGGGTCGGGGCCATCCATCGCTTCCACTCATTTCAGAGCCTGGGGCTGCTACACTGCCGTGGGCGCTAGGAGAATGCCGAATCCATGCGTCGCTATCTCCAGATGGGCGCGGCCGCCCTGTCCTTCGCCCACATGTCGTCTGACGACCGACAGCGTGTCCAACAGCTTGATCCAGCTGCGCAGGGTGTTGGGCGACTGTGTCACCGACGCACCCAGGGGGCAATGCGCATTTTAGACACGTGGCACTGACGGAAAGGTTGGAATGATTCGAGAGCTCTCTGTCTTGGTGGCTCCGTGGGGCCGCGCGGCGGAACCAGCGGCGCTGCGCCCTGGCGCCCCTGGTCGCCCTTTGGCCAGCGTTTTTTTCGCAAACTTTGCACGCCGGGTGCTTTGGACAACGAACGTCGGATATCGTGTGAGCACAGCGGTTATGATAGTGGACGGATGTGCTCTGCAGCTTCCTCACCCTGCCCCCCCCCCCTGGCGAACAGCTTTTAAACAGGTCGAAAGCTCTCTGTCTCTGGAGCTCTCTGAGGCGGCGCGGCAGTACCAGCGCCGCTGCGCCCCGACGCCCCTGGCGGCCGTTTGGCCGGCCTTTTCTCACAAACTTTACGCACTGGGTGCTTTGGAAAGCGAGCGCCGGAGATTGTGATGCGAATTCTCACGGTGATGCTGCTGACGAGGATGGTAATGATGACGATGATGCTGCTGCTGCTGGTGATGATGATGGGAATAAGCGAGGATGATAATGACGATGCTGGTGGTGATTGTGATGATGCTAAGGATGTTGTCGTTTCTGCTGCTGTTGCTGCTGTTGCTGTTGTTGATGATGGTCATCGTGATAACGCAGATGGTGGTGATCATGCTGCTGCTGCTGCTGATGATGATGGTGGTGATGACGATGAAGTTGAGGAGGATGATGAGGAAGGGAAAAGGTGAGGAGGAGAAACGCAATGATGCCAACGAGCCCAACAGGTTGATGCTGACGAAGATGACGACGACGTCGCCGACGACTTGGACGCCGTCGTCCCGACGACGACGCTGACGCTGACGGCGAGGGTGAAACGACGACCTCCCTCCCGAAGGGCCTACAGCCCAGCGGTGCCGTTGAGCGCCCCTGGCGCCACGCCGCGGCTGTACAGCTACGGGGGCGAGCGGACCCCCGCCCCGACGCCCAGCATGACGCCCAGGGTTCAGGCTGCGCGGGCTCGCCTTGCCCCGAGCCTCGCCTGGCCTCCTATTCCTCCTCCTCCTCCTCCTCCTCCTCCTCCTCCTCCT